ACAATTATTCCCAAATCTGTCAAAATTTTGTCTGAACCCCGGAGAGCTGCTTAATTTTGGAGCAGAGTTGGATTAAGCAAAGCTGCTTGTGCTGAGTTCTAATTCATTATTTGGTCTGGACAAATCATTTTTTTTTTGCTTTTTTTGTAGCAAAGATGTCTCAGTTTTTTTTGCTCTTTGGGATTCACTGCTGGGAATTGTAACTGAAGAAAAACATGATTAGATGCTTCCCTGGTTTCTTTTCCATCCTAAAATCCATAAAAAATCTGGGAGCAGGTGAAGGTCACTGATTTGTTTGGGTTTATTTTGGTCATTTGTCGGCCAAGACTTCGATTTCTGTTTTCCAAGAATATTCCTGGTCAGGTTTTCCTTGGCTAAATCCATCTTTTTGTCTGTTTTGGTTGAGATCTGAGCTGGAATTATCCTCCCTGGGTTTTTTTTTTTTTCTGTTGGATTTTAGGCAGAGGGATTCCTTTTAGGAAGGGCTGCATCTGCTGTAGGATCTCATTTAAATTCCCTGCTCCCTCCMAGTGCAAATTCCTTTATTTAGGAGCAGATTTTCCCTGTTTTATCAGACCTAACTTAGTGTGAAGTGACAAAAATGTTCTTGAGATCCAAGAAACAAAAAGGGATGACACGGAGAGGTTTTTTTAGGAGGGAGAGCAAATCCTTATTTTTTTCCCTATTGGGCAGCTTTAAATAGAAACATTTGGAATTTTTCCTAAGTGAAATCTGCCAGACAGACTAAAGAAAGTGGGATTTTATCAGAGACCTCAGAAAACAGATTTTATGGAATATTTTCAGGGGTGTGGAGTGGACAGCACCGAGATGCTGTCACACAGATTGTCCCTTTTCCAGCTTGGAGAAGTAAATCTGTCCTTCCACAGCCATTTTTTTCCCCTATTGGGCAGCTTTAAATAGAAACATTTGGAATTTTTCCTAAGTAAAATCTGCCAGACAGACTAAAATAAGGAGGATTTTATCTGAAACAGATTTTATGGAAGATTTATCACCTGCTCAGGGGTGTGGAGTGGACAGCACCGAGATGCTGTCACACAGATTGTCMCTTTTCCAGTTTGGAGAAGTRGATTTGTCCTTTTATAGCCATCCCTGTGAATTTTTTAAAAACCATTCCAGGAGGTTTTTCCAGCCCCTGGGATACAAACTGAGCTTTCCTGGAGCTGTTTTCCCTTTTTCTCCTCCTCCTGCAGGTCACAGATGTCCCCCAGCCAGGAGCGGCCATCGCTGCGTGGCCGACAATTCCAACCTCTACGTTTTTGGAGGATACAACCCTGACTATGATGAGTCTGGAGGATCAGAAAATGAGGATTACCCTCTCTTCAGGGAGCTCTGGAGGTACAACTTTGCCACAGACACCTGGCATCAGATGGGCACAGAAGGCTACATGCCCAGGGAATTGGCCTCCATGTCACGTACGTACAGAAATCCAACTCCTTCTCTGCCTATTCCTGGAGYTATTTTAATCCTGGTTATTTTAATCCAGGTTAGAAATGGAAATCTGGATCCTGTTTCYAAGTAGGCCCTGATTTTCTTTCTTGTTTTTGCTCGGTTGAGRCARAGGGAAGGAAAAAAATAAGGAAGCAAGAGGTGTTTTCCAGGTGCTTTCATGCAGCCATCTCAAAGCATCCAAAAATAACTGGTTTTGTTCACKTTKGWWRGMARRC